GGATGAGATGATCCCCAGAGGTCCCCTGTGGCCCCAGCAGGATGGGCTCTGTGGGTGGCTCCTGCTGGGCTCTCTGGGCTCTGACACTCGTGGCCTCCCCTGCAGAACCAGTACAGCCTGACGAGAGCTCAGCAGTCCTACAAGTCCCTGGTTCAGATCCACGAGAAGAACGGTAAGGGCCGAGGGGCACACGGGGCTGGCACTGCCACTCTGGGCCCTTCCCAGCAGCACGTTCCCTCCCTCTCCTCCTCTTCCAGGCTGGTACACGCCGCCCAAGGAGGACGGGTAGCGCGGACGCTGCGGGACCAGCCCCGTCCTCTGCTGGATGCTCTACTCGGATCTTGATGCCTCTTGGCTTTCTCCCAGGATGTAATAGCTCTGCCTGTTGCAGGACAATAATGGCTGTTCAAAACCCTAAATAAAACTGTGTAAGCAGTTGGACTGACCTGACACACTTGCTGGACCCTTGCTCGCAGCCATTCTTGTCAAAACAAACTTTTGAGCCTCTTGTATCGCTGGAAACTTTTGACTCTACTCCAGTCTAGAGCATCCTCCTTACCTATGCTATGGATTTAATTTATTTTCTTATTTCATGTACACTGCTCTTTTTTTGTTACAGTGTATGATGGATGTGTATGGAAAATGTATCTTTGGAGAAAAATTACAGTTTGTTAATTTGAAGAGGCGGGTCTGGCTGATCTCTGTTGCTGGGCTCATCCTGCCCCCCAGGAGCCGTGGGGCTGACCCAGGGGAGGAGCAGCCTCAGCCCCTTCCTGGGGGCTGCCCAGGCCCTGGACCAGCTGCGTGGGAAGAAGAAGAAAACCCTTTATTGCTCTGGCAAGGTGGGAGCCGGGCGTTGGTCCCGGAGTTGTCTCTTGGTGAAGGAGAGCCCTGCAGCCCTGGCAGGGGGAGGGCAGTGCAGCCCCCAGGAGCCGTGGGGCTGACCCAGGGGAGGAGCAGCCTCAGCCCCTTCCTGGGGGCTGCCCAGGCCCTGGACCAGCTGCGTGGGAAGAAGAAGAAAACCCTTTATTGCTCTGGCAAGGTGGGAGCCGGGCGTTGGTCCCGGAGTTGTCTCTTGGTGAAGGAGAGCCCTGCAGCCCTGGCAGGGGGAGGGCAGTGCAGCCTCC